GCCTGTGACTACTGCCCAGTAGCACTGCATCAGGCTTCCTGCCCCGCAACAGTACTGAGCAGTAGTTACAGGCTACCGCACAGTCAGCGTCTTATGTAGACATAGCCAGAGACTACAAAGACTACACAATAAAGATGCTGCATGGTGAGTTAACTGATATTCAAGATGTTCGCAAGATATTTTCAGGGTCTTGAAAAATAGTAACAGACAGGAGCTACTTGCACATTTAATGAACAGTAAAGGTCAAAACAAGGTTCCTCTTAAATGCCAGAGATTGTTTATAGTTTTGATAAGCTTATATCTACTGCAGTCACTGACGTCTCTAGGGCTAGGGACAGAAATTACACATAAACCAGTATAAGTGATCAGAAACTGGTTCAAATCTGTAACACAACAGAAGTTTAGTGCTTTCTAAATGGCAGAAACTAGTTTAAAATAAAACTGGATGGCTGTAGTATTAGACTTAAACTGATTTAGGCTACATCAGTTTACTGAACTTCTGTCCCAGATCCCCTCCAGATTCAGGTTAACTCACAATCCCCCAGCATCCCAGGATTATTTGCATCTTCCCTACAAATTCCCCCAACCCCCCACCCCTGGGAAGGTGGGAAGGCTAGTCTTGGCCTGAGCTGTCTGCTTCAGCCAAGCAGGGTGGCATACCCAAACCCCACCACCACCACCAGCTACTGCCCTAGGCCACCGCAGACATGTGTATGCATTTCCGGAATCAAAAATGGATGTCTGTTCATTTGCTTATCAGTTCAATCTATGCAGGTTACACTAACCTGTGAAGATTGAATCAATTCAGTCTCAGCCTTTTTGACTGCCTTGACTTAGCCTAGTGGTAGCTGAAATGAAATGTTTGACATGGATACTTCAAAAGGGCTATGTGGGCTGGATCTGAAATGCTTAATGAAATCAGGAAAGTCTTGAGGTACACTCAGAAACACACAACTCAAAGAGTTTCCCAGGTTTACAGGCAGCATTTCTTGATAGATCTTGGCAAAAAATAGCACTAGACCTGAAGGGAGAGAATGATGGCATACCTGTTTGCCAAGGGATGTTACAGTAAGAGAGACCATGCCACTGCATAGTGCACCAAACTGGCCCAAAGCCCCCATTGCATTGTGGTCAGGTTTCAGCATGGTGGTTTAATAAAGCTGAAACTGAATCTCTGTATGCAGCCACCAAAAAGTTAACCTTGCCACTGCCTACCTGGAAACCACCAAGCATGTTTCTAGTAAGAAACACTCAGGCCCCTGGCATGCATTACATGCATGGCACTGTTAACAGTAACAGTGCCCCATGTTCAAAAAGTTATGGCACTATAAAATGACAAACCACCCACAAAAATATTCCACAAAAAATGCGGAATATTTGTGACTGCTTTGCATGGCACAATAAATTGAATACGTGGCACACCCCCATCCTAATGTTGACAATCAGTTGATTCTCAACATTGGCATAGGAATGGGGCTCAATACCAAAAATGAGCTGCCAACAAGAAGGCTGGAGTAGTCCTGGAGGAAAAAACCAAGGGGCTCCCCCTGCTGGGAATCTTGTAACCCCTGGCCCCAAAAATGCCTTGCTTTGCAAGGATCCTGAAAATCACACGTCCTGCTATGCAAGTGTGGCACGACAGGGCACGCACTTGTTGGGATCAAAGATCAAATCCCTTGGAACCTTTATTCAAACATCTGTTAGTGCCCTTATTGGTGAGCATGTGTTACAAATTCCCTTCAGTACCTGGCCCACTAAAAATAGGAGTTGCCACAGGCTCCATTGGCACAACCTCCACTCTAATTCAAACAGTAGCATACTGCTTCTAGCTCAGACAATCCCTAGCTCAGGCCCTGATGTTCACACCCTATAGAAAAAACTGCTGCCAACAAGTCCTAGAAAAGGTGTACGGCATTCTCTTTTCTTTGAAGATGCTGGAAGAAATAGTCATTGACAACGGACAGCAGTTTGTGAGTTCTAAGTCTGTAGGGCTCACTATCATTTCAAACGTACCCCTCCCAGCCCAATACCACCCACAAAGGAATAGATTTGCAGGGAATTCTACAATATAAAGCTTCCACATTTACTTGCCTGAGCAAAAGAGGTACTCATATTCATCCACCAGAGTAAGCACAACTCAGGGTGCCAGCACACTCTGTGATTACTACAGGGTAATTTATCTTAGATTTTACTTCAAAGTAAATTTACTCCATAGTTAAAAGCAGGCACATTACCATCTCCTCTGAGTTCCCTACCTCCAATGGGAACTGTTAGAGCACCTGACCACTAGGTTCTTGGAGAGCAAGTCTGCATTCAGTAAAGGGCTACCCAGGAGACAAAACTGACTATGGAAACAGCCCCATAACAGATATACCAGTCTATCTTATACCTGTGTATAATTGATCCTCATGTTCTCAGGGGTAATATTACTATGGCTTACAGTAGTACAAGGCTGTATTGAGTGCATCCACTTTTTACAACACAGTAAAGCCAATTTTATTCCATAATAAATTTGTATCAGGCCCTCAGTTTCAGATACTTATTCATTGATAGGACAAAGTTGTTAGCCTGACAATTAGCTCATTCCCTCAAGTGTCTGTTTTTAAAGATATGAGATCGAGGGAGGCTGAAGTTGCCAGATCTAAGAACTAAATAAACATCAGAAAACAGAATTAAAAAAAAATTAAACTAGGACCACCAGTGGTGATAGAGAACATAATATTGGATGATACCAGCTCTTCTTATTGAATATAGCTGCATCCCAAAATCACAGCAAGCTGAGATTCACCAACATACTCATTAAAGGAAATTAAAAAACAAAAGGGGAATATTCACCTGGTTCCCTACTCAAGCCTCCATGTGATCCTAGCAGCCATGCCCCAGGAGGGAAATAAAGCTATTGAGAAGAATCCTTAAATGTGTTGGACAAAAGCCCATAGTCTGGAGATTTAATATCCCAGTGAATCAACTGAACAGATGTCCCCTTCAGGTAAGAGGTAACTAGACCTGGATGAGTGTACAAGTCAATGGCTCAGCTAGAGCCATGGTTTGCTATTAAATATTAATCATAGTTAAAGATTGTTTACAGATAAAAATAGGAAGTGGGCAGGAGGATGAGAGGATGCATGCATGAGAGGTTTTTTGACTCTATTACAGCACCCGCGAAACACAGATGGCAATCAAGCCATTCAGGCTTTTAGTTCTGCAGGTCTCCAAATCAATGTGTTCCCAGCACATCTGGCCAATGTAATAATGATTATATTTGCATAATGTCTATGTGCTTGATGCCTCCATGTCTTGCCACCATTCAAAAAATAATTATCTTGTTGTTTACAGAATTTACACTGTTTTTTTTATGACAAAATTTTTTGGATTTTTTTAAACAACTCAGATGTTTCTTGCATCACTTTCTCCCATAGTTTTTTTTGTGAAAAGCTGTGTTAAAATGATTCTCCTCATCAGCTGCCTAAAAGCATAGCTGGTCTGAAGAAGCCTTTGAAGTGTTCCCCCTTTCCTGTCACCCACAACAATAAATTTTCTTCACCATCACACTTTGCTGTCCTAGCAGTTCTGTTGGAGAATGACCTTATGGCAGCCTAGTGCCTTTCTTTGTCAGTAATTTGTACCTGGAGATATAAATGATTACACCTGCCAGACTAGATAAAGGATGGCAATGTTCCTTCCTTCATTTTATAGGAGAGGTGAACTTTTATTCACTTCTGCCTTTGAATAATCTCCTCTGCTGCTACAAAGGTTTATTGTTAAGTACATTACCATACATGTTTTAGTATAGTACACATAAATGTTTTCAGTAACATTGTCAACCACTAGAAGACATATGAATAGTTGTGAACACTCACTAAGAGGTTAGTTGTGTTACGCTAGGCATCTCAATTTTGACTGCTGAGACGTTAAATTTGGGAGGTGTATCAATTCCTAAGCCACAGAGGGCACATATTAGTTGGCTTCAGTGGAGTTGCTAATGAATATTTTGTTTAGAAGGAATGCCTCATTAATTCATACTGAAGTATAGCAATTTTTGTCTTATAGATCCTATCCTATTCATAAAGAAGTCAACAAACAAGCAGAATCTCTCCTAGGTCTCCTCCTGGCTTTCTGCCACAGATTTTACAGGGAGGCCTAGTGTATTCAGCAGATGTAAGTGAGTTAGAGAAAAGCACAGCAAAGCATGGGCACCATCCTACTGCCCCTAAAAGACAGAAAGGAAGGGACTTGCCTGAAGTCAACCAGGAGATCGTTAGCACAGGTACAAATACAGCTCCTAAATCCCAGTCTACTGCACTATCCAGTAAACCACACTGCCTTGCTAAAAGGTAACTAACCCATGCCAATTGCTTGTGTCACTAAAGGAACAAGCAATTGGCGTGGGTTAGTTACCTTTTGATCATTCATGCTCACTGTTTTCTAAACCATATTAACTAATTTGCATCACATAGTTCAAATCAAATTTCAATTTGAATGAAGGGTTAATAGATGATCAAAGAGGTTTGCCCCCTTCTTCACAGACCAGCAGCCCCTCTGTTTGGAGGCTTGCAGGGCTGGAGGCTTAGTCAGGATACTGATATTTAGTGAGGCGTTGCTGGCACATCTGACTTTCTAGAAGTGTTACTTTGTGCCTGATAGCCTCTGCTGTTTTGCCAAAACCCAAATGAGTTTCCTTGGAGGGGACTGATATTTGCAATTCTTATTTGCATTCCTAAGAAAGGCTTATCTGAGTTCCTAAGAACTGTTTTTCCTAAAAGTAACGCCGTATATACATGTTAATTAATACATTTTAAATTGCCTAATTCGGCCTGCCCTAGTCTGCATTAACTTTAATCCTCATTCATGAGGATTAGTTAATTCAGACTAGAGACAATTTTAATTTGGATTACAGATGTCCATGTGTATCTAGTGATAGCTACAGTCCAGATTAAACCTAGAAAAACATAACGTCTATAAATGACTGAAGAGTTGAAAATTAAAAAGTGCAAACATACTGCATTCTTTCCCTTTCACAGGGTCTGGTAATCCGGAGCACTCCACTGCTGGGTTGGGGACAGCCACCCTCCATCTGGATCCACTGCTATCACACTCGGTGTATTCAAAGTGGTAATCTGTCTGCAAGCAATCAGAAAGACTCTCAGTTTCATCATAACACCTGCACCTTCCCATCATGGGATCATTCATGAGAACTGGATATTTAGTCATCCCAATAACAATAACAAGCACAATCGCAATAACAATAGCGTTGCCATGTAGCATACTATGCATCATTCCCATCACACCCTCATTTATTATTTTATTCAGTGTGCACATGCATGTTTGTGTACAGAGAAAATGAAAAGACACTGAATGGGATATTCACAAGCATCTTAAGACAGTTCAAGTGGACCTGTGTTCACAAGTTACTTAGATGCTTTTGAAAATCCTACCCAATTTCCTTAGAGCTAAAGAATAAACTTAAGAGCACAGGGTTCACTGAAAGTCAGTGCGACTAGATCAAGCTCTAAATACCTTTCATAGTTTCATAGTTGGCAGGGTCGGAAGGGACCTGAGCAGATCATCAAGTCCGCCCCCCTGCCATGGCAAGAAAGAGTACTGGGGTCAACCAACCCCAGCCAAGTGTTCATCCAGCCTCCTTTTAAAGCCCCCCAGGGTAGGAGCCAGCACCACTTCTCTTGGAAGTTGGTTCCAGATCCTAGCCGCCCTGACAGTGAAGTAGCGCCTCCTGATGTCTAGTCTGAATCTACCCTCTGCCAGCTTGTGACCGTTATTTCTAGTCACTCCTGGTAGCACTCGGGGGAACAGGGACTCCCCCAATGCCTGCTGGTCCCCTCTGACTAGTTTGTAACAGCACGTTCTCTTGTGGAGGTTGAATAGGTTCTCCTCATAAGGCCTGCCCTGCTGCCCCCGATCATGCGAGTGGCCCTCCTCTGGACCCTCTCAATGCTGTCCACATCCCTCCTGAAGTGCGGCGCCCAGAACTGGACGCAGTACTCCAACTGCTGCCTAACCAGTGTTGCACGGAGGGGGAGGTTCACCTCCTTGGACCTGCCTGAGATGCATCTGTGGATGCACGACAAGGTACAGTTGGCCTTCCTGACCGCATCCCCACACTGTCGGCCCATGTTCATTTTGGCATCAATAATGACTCCAAGATCCTTTTCTGCCTCTGCGCTGACAAGAAGGGAGTTCCCCAGCCCGTAGGTCTGCTGCTGGTTCTTCCCCCCCAGGTGCAGCACCTTGCACTTGTCAGTGTTGAAACCCATCCTGTTCTCATCCGCCCACCCCTGTAACCTGTCTAGGTCCGATTGCAGCTTAATCCTCCCTTCTAGCACGCCCACTTCCCCCCACATCTTAGCATCGTCTGCGAATTTGAACAGGGTGCTTTTTACCCCCTCGTCCAAGTTGCTGATGAAGATGTTGAACAGCGCGGGTCCGAGCCCTGGGGAACTCCATTGCCCACATCCCTCCAGGTCGAAAATGACCCATCCATCACCACTCTCTGGGTGTGGCCCTCCAGCCAGTTAGTGACCCATTTGACTCTGTAGGTGTTGACGCCACAGTCCGCTAGTTTTTAAATGAGAATGGGGTGAGAGACAGTGTTTAGAAAAATCTTTCACTTTTACTCTAATATAGGCAAGAAGATACAAATCAGATTCTCTAAAGGACTCCCACTTTGGCATCAAAATCATTGTTCATTCATGACTGAGCACTTTCATTCCCATTTCAGTCATAATGGGACCTGCTGCTAAGTGGGTATTTTAGGAAGTTTGTGTGCCTAAGTAATAGCTGAAAATCAGGCCCCATTCCTAGATGGCAAGCACTTCAAAACCTAGTCTTGTACTTACGGCATGTAACAATCTGAATCAACACTTTGGTTGGATGAGGAAGGAATCAAGACAAAAGTTATGGGATCACAGGGTCACTCAGAGCTGGTGTGGGCACATCTTGGTGGTCCAGTTAAGTTGCAGGTTTAATCTAATGATTACCACATTTTCTTTCATGCCCCTTGTTATTTGGAAGGCAAAATACAAAAAAAAGAAATTGGATGACTGTGACATAGACTAAGTCCTCCTGGAACCAGAGTATCCATGAAGTGTGGCATCCCAGGAGACGGTCTGAATGAGGCAGAAGGCACTTTCTGGGGTGGTAGGATAGCAACAAGGTGAGACTCCAGAAATTTGTAAGGGCAGTAGCAAGACTGTTACTTCTTTACTGTAAATAGTTCTTTATGTAAGTTCCTGTGAATAATAATGTGATGCTTCCAGACCACAAGCCTCATCAAGGTATTACAGACTGCATGCAGCAGTTCACTCAGACTCACAATGACTCTTCAGCCAGAAGGTTCTGCCTCACCAGCAGGTGTGCGAGGGTTAACACTGGATACCAACCCTCCTGTTGGCCGTCCCAGACATCTTGGCAGCCAGCGCCCGGGGTATCTGCTTGCTGTATTGTACTCTGCCTCTATTGCAGCAAAGAAAAAACAGCTTCTCCCAAATACACACTTCAATTTTGGATGTCTAAATTTAGGGGAAGGATGCACATGGTATGCAAATAAATATGATAAATATACATTTTAGGTCATTTCTGGTGGGGTAAGCTCATTTAATGTCTATAGTAGTACCACAGCAGTGACAACAGATTACTGAAGAACAGCCGTCCCTTGTAGGGGCGAATCAGGGTGACTGCCATGGGCCCTGTGCTTTGGGGGGCTCTGCGGACAATGCTGTACAGGTCCTGCGGAGGGTGCCACCACTCCATGCGGCCACCACTTGCCGCCGGCTTCGCACTCTGGCCGCTCACTACCCACCCCCCTCCCCCAGGCCCTACACAGGCTAATATGCCCCGAGCCCTGCACACCCCTAGGGTCGGCTCTGCTGAAGACACTCCCAAGCTACCCTTGAACTATCTACTAGGAGCAGTCTAGCTGTGGCAACACAGAGCTCAGCATGGACTGCAAAACTTGTGCACCAGTCAGGGTAAATGAAACGGCATTGACCTCTGCACTGTTGCAGCTAACCTGCTGCCAGACCTTAACAAACTATCTCATTACACCCCAGTGTAGACACATCCCCATAGCTCACACTACCCACACAGAGTCCCAAGTAGACCAGGATACTATATCACCATGCACGTCAGCAAGCCGTTGCAGGTTCTTCTGCACCGAGAGTCCCTGCCACACTGACTTTCTACATTCCCACAAAAGTGGAAAGGGAGCAAGTGGCTTGGTCCTATGGCTCCTGTATTCTCAGGGAAGATTTATGTCAGACAAGGCATAGGCTAGATCAAAATTGCAAGTCTTTTTCCTGGTTAAAAACAAGCATCATTACTTTTAATATCTTTGCTGCTTGCTACGGCTGATCTCCTGAAATCTTTGGATTATAATGCAGTTCTACCTTAACATTATTAAAGTGTTGGCCACCTTACAAAAAAACTGCAAGTATATTCTGGCTGGTTGGGAATAAATATATCTATGGTTCAACTGGTGCTTCAAAAAAAAAAAAAAAAAAAAAAAAAATCATTGTGAACTGAAAACTATGGAAGCAGAAAAATATTTGTCATCTAAATAATAAAACTAAGGAAAATAGGATGTAATCATCTCCTGAGCTACAAAGGAAATATGATCTACCACAAGACTATAAATATATTCAATTACAATTTGCATTTCTCCTTTTCTCATCTTATATAATCTTCATGCAAAGACAAAATCCAGTTCTTAATTACCTCCTCTTTGAAATCTTCCTGTGGAGAAACAAGAATTTATAAATAACCTTATGTGATAAATGAAAACAACACCATGGCTTATATCACTTAAAGAAACTGGTTTATCCTCTGAATAAAATACACAGGATGAGAATTAACAGTGAAAGGCTATTTCAACCATTAAATTGACTTATGTATTGAAACCACATTTTTGGTCTCACATCGGATCAACAAAAGTATACAGAGCAAGTGTGGTACCAACCAATATAGCCATTCCTCTCCCAGTCCCATTTCATAATGTTACCTGAAAGTCAACCCACAGTCAGATACCGAGAAAAATATCATTTCTGCAACAGGGAAATGAATCAAAATAACACAGAGGGATGGTATTTTATTGTTTGTTACAAGAAGAAGTGGTAAAGTCACTAATTCCCTTTAGAGCCGTAGGCCCAACATCTTCCTCTCCTCCTCAGGAGAACCCAGGTAGTTTCCTTAAGGGTCTGCATGAGTTGATCTGTAATTTTTTCAAAAAAACTTTCTGAGACAGATGGCACCCATGCAAGTCCTTCACTCTGGCCACCCTCATCCCCATATTTATGTAGTCAGATCCCTGGAGGAGTTTCAAAGATCATCTGTCTTTGCATATCTTTACATGTGCTCTGGGGTGGGGGCGCTTTAATTACAACAGCTCCCAAGAGCTGCTCTAATTAAAGCCTCCCCCCAACCCTGGAGCACATGTAAAAATGCCCTAAGTTCAATGCCTTGACCAATTTCTTAAAGGGTCCCCTTCCTGTGGCTTCCAGCCCAATAGTTGCTCAATTTCCTAACAGAAGGATGTCATTTGCTGTTCCTTGAACCCAACCTTGTGTTTAAAAGTTAATCTGAGATTGCTCTTGTTCTTGTATTAATCACCTGTAATAAAGTAAAATTCTACCCTCTTTAAGACCTGCAAACCCTAAAGCCTCCCATATCTCTCTTCTTGAGCTCACTAGAGGTTCCCAAAAACCCATCGTTTTTAGGTGTTGAGAAATTGGCCTGATGGTAGAGGAGTGACAACAACTCACATAAGCATACCACAGTTAGGTTTAAACTAGCCAAGTCAGGTGCACTGAGCAGCATGACCATGACATCGAGTTCATTGTGGGCTAACTGCTCAGCACAATGCTGCCATAGCAAGACCACTTCCACAGCCAAGCTGTAGTATTTTAAAGCTATATCTATACCAGCTGCAGTCACACCTGGACTGTAAATGTAGCTATAACCTAAGTGGCAAAAGCAGATGATAGAAGTTATCCACTACTACTGCTTTAAACTCAGTTGATGGGATGTGGTGGCAGAGCAGTTAAATTGTCTCACTACGGCTTGCTACAGCCCAAGCTCTACTCTTAACTCATGCTAAAAGCTACCCTCTG